GACCAGAGAGCAGGACAATCGTTACCTCTCGGATACACCGCAGCCGCCCTTGATACACCCCTGAATCAGAGGGGACTGAAATAACTAGCGCCGCGGACAGGTCCTCGCGCGAAGAGCAACATTTTCGGGCCCGTCCTAATGGCCCCTCAAGAGCCCTTTTTTGCCGATTTCGGACGCGCAAAGGTGTAAATTGGACGGCGGCGAGCAAGAATCTCACCTCGTTTTGGAGTATCGTAAAAAAAGAAAGTCACCCGTGCGGAGTCGTGTCGATGATAATCGCGCACGGACATCGCGGATACTCCGATCGAGCGCGTTCCCGCTGACGTGCGAAAAAAGAAGGAGCGTCGTGAATTGTTGCTGCGTCGCTGATGCGAGAAAAATGAGATCGTACGAAATCACGTTAATTTTTGCAATCTTAGCAAGCTTCCTCCAAAGCAGCGATACATCAGTGCGGATCATAAAAAAGAAAGACAAGATATAAGTCTAGTCGTTATTTTTTATAACGAGCAAAGGGATATTTCAACATCGTCGGTCTCTCTTCTTACGTTTTCACCGCATTGATATTTGTATCGGATTATTTATTTGCGCGTATTCGTTAAGTCGAAGCGAACAGGTGCGATAATCTTGAAATATTCAGCGAACACTCGATGTGCATTAATCGGGAGGGGCGCGCGTTTCGTAACGTGAACACTCGTGAATTAAAATCGTCTCGGTGTCGAACGTTGAACCGCGGTTCGTCGGTGGTGATCGACGACTCGGGTGTAAATTTAGCACCCTACGGTATGAGATCAGTCGGCTTGAATTAGAAAACATTGTCCGGCGAGAATAGCCGATATAAAGACCTTACTAATGCAGTTACCTCGTAACGCGAACTTTCGCGAATTAAAATCGTCTTGATGTCGAACACTGAACCGCAGATTCGTCGATGAATCGACGACTCGGGTATAAATTTAGCACCCTACGGTATGAGATCAGGCGGCTTGAATTAGAAAACATTGTCCGGCGGGAAATACCGATATAAAGACCTTACTGCGCGTATAGTCACCTGAGATTTCTACGAACACGAGCCTTGAGCATGACTAATCCCGGAGCAACGGGATTATTAATATTCGCAGGCGACAGGTCACGTCCGTAGTGATACAATGCAACCTCAACTTCCACGCAACAATGTTGTAACATCGATGAATATTATGCATTCCGATTATAATTGTATGTATACTAAACGTCAAGTAAAGTCTTCATAACATTTACTAGGCCAAAACTCATCAGTGATTTCTAATCGTTCGCATCGTGTCTGGATATACATGTACGTTACGACAGTTAATTATTCAGCTCTGTCATTCTGACAGCTTGACAAATTACATTACGAAAATCATCAGTGAATTTCGGCCCAGCAAATGTCACACAACACGTTTATCTAAAAGACGTCTCAGAGACGTCCTTCAAACGTCTTATTATCTCAAAGACACCTTAATGTTCCTTTGATGTATTATGAAACTATAAAGATTCGAATATATAATAAACAAACGTTACAAATCTAGAAAACGTATAACAGATAAATGTAATGATGCTATAATGACCAATTAATAATAATTCTTCTCATTAAAAAGAGCTGATTGTTTGCTCCTCTTATATTATTTTTCTCGAATATCGAGTGACATTCTTGGAGGTTGCATTGATCACATGAAGGTAATCGGGACCTTCTATGAATCAAGATTATCTACCGAGCGTGCGAATGAGTGTCGAGATCGCGGCTCGTTAAGTTAATCCGATGAAGAATTGACAAGATGGTACTATATTTCTGCCGCGAACTATATATTTGAATTACGTGGTCGAATAAAGCTGTGACGGTCCCGAATGATATACGGATATGCGAAGTCGATGAGCAGAAGAACGGAGTTGATTTATACGCTGGTATCTCTCAGTACTCAATTCAAAGCGGATTGTAGTGTTTTATGTTATGTGACATGCTTTCCAGACTAATTGACATATTATTAAGTAGTGATGTAAAGAGAGCACGATGTTATATGCATGTGAAAATACAAAAAAAAAAACTTTTTTCAAAGTTACGTGACTGGCGCTTTGAGGCATATAGAACATTCGCTTGAAGAACTTTATATTCCAACTTAATTAATCGGTTTCTTTGTAACACTCATAACCGACACAGAAACCCCACCGTGTTGAACGTCACATATTGTTATTGCACGCGCAGTGCACTTGACGTTCGTAAAAGTGGCTCGATAATAGGACATTAAAGAGCATTTCAAGTCGACGAGGGGGAAACACTCTTTCCTTCGTTCCCTTGCAAACCTTTCCTGGTTTTCTGTTTACTTTGTAGCAGCCGGTCGAGCCCGTCCTTGTTCCCGACTTGACGAAAAACTCTCGAAGGTGTAAGACCGTGCGGAATCTCTAAAGATTCAGATCCGGCCGGCGAGATACGGGGAACCTACGAGGTTCATTTTAAAAGCCCCCCGAATTTCTGCCGTTTTACTGTGGGTTTGCAAGAAATACCGCATCATTTCACGAGTGCCATTGTCACGTCATAATGGCGGTGGACACAAATTCATCCTCGAATCTGTATAATCGCCAGTGTTTCTTTCACGGGTTCCTCCCATGAAAAACCTGCCAGAATCTTTTCGAAGCCGTTCGCACCTCAGGGGTCGCCTCGTCTTCGAATTATTCTTCCTTACCAAAGGACATTTTGTACTCGGAACAATGGCATCTGTCTCGTGTCTATTTTCCTCAATATATTTTGTCGTTTTTGTGCTTGTTTTGGGAGCGTAAAAATTCGTGCGACTCAAGCAATTATTCAATTTCAAAATAAGAAAATTAAATCATGAACGTGACACCGGCTCAACACGCTTCATGCTTTATGATAAAGTGAGTCATTATATAACGAGAAAAAAATTACGAATAAGGTCGATGTATGTAAATAAATTCAGAATTAAACGCGCATTAACGCTGTTGCGACGATTGAGCGAATCGGGAGAAAAAAAAAACGCAAGGTTTGCCGGGGATGACGCAAGAAACCGTTACACAAGAATCGTTCTTCTCGCTGATAAGAGAAAGAAGTCTCCGTTTTGTCGAGCGCTGGAAACGTATGTGCTCAAAACATAGTCTCGAAATTCTCGCGAGACGCGCAACAGTGATCCAACAGATTCCGTACGTTCAGCGCGACTCAAATAATGCAACGCGGTGCAACGTAAGGTGCAGCCCACGTGCACACCGTGACATTCCAATCGTGACTTGCAATCTGCATTTGTAACTTCGTACCTACTCCGAAGATGTCTGATTCTTTACGCTTAGTCTCCTTTTAACGGCGCACGCGTGACGAATGAAGAACTCGCTAAGCAAAGCCGCTCGGTTGAAAATGCGATAATTACCGTACCGTTAGGCTCATGTTTACGCAAGTACAGAAACTTTTTCTCTCGGAGCAACCGCATTACAACCGCATCACGCGCATTATTCTCGTGTCACCTTTGTCAACGAGAGAAGAGAAAACAGAGGGATTTCTAGACGTTATAAACTTCTCACCGGTCAAAACAAACGAAGCAAAACAAGCCAGTCGCCAGTTCCCGATTTTCGAGCGGGACGAGCACAAACTGTGTGTGTGTGTGTGTGTGTCGTTTCTCTTTTAATCTCATTTTTGTTTTCCGCGAAACGTGTTGCGTCTAACTTGTCGAATTAAGATGATTCGACCGATAAGACGCGCGCCATAGTTTGTCTTATTGATTATATTCGCCGTAAATCGCATATCCAGCCGATCGTGCGCATTTGCGCAAGGATGAAATAAGAGGGCACTACTCGCGGAGAATGTACCGGACCACGTTCCTATGAATGAAATGTGTTTGATTGATAGCGCAGGAACGGTATTTCGAAACCGAAACGAAAGGATCTACCGGCGAGAACGACGGTCAGAACAAATCGGCCGCCGCGCGCGTTGCAGCACAAAAGGCTCACTGAACTGCGACACGAGCGAAAATGTGTCATTACCGCGCAAATTACGATCCGGCACTTCCGTACGCATCCTGAGTTCCCCGGGATAATTGCCGTGAATTAGCGACGATCGATGGACAGCCGCGGAATGATGTCGGCGGTACCGCCAACCGAATACTAATCTCGTTACGCTATATTTTTCGGAGCGTAAAAGTACACAGGAATCTTGCCGAGAGCCGGGCGAAATGCCGAATCGACGTTTACTAATTTGAAAATGGTATCGCTCTCTTTTCGATGCGTCGTCGCGATTAATCGTCATTAACGGGATTGAACACGGCGACAATAGAATGAAATCGACACGGAATTTTGTGATTGTATCGTGGATAGAACGAAAAAATAACGCAGATACACATTGAATAAATGTCTACAAACAAAACAAAAACATATGTCTAGGATAGATAAAATACGTTTTACTTTCTTCTCTTCTAATTATCAACAATTCAATGTCAAATGAATGATACAAAAGCTACGTGTTCGGGGGAATGGGATTGCATCATTCTATCTTTACCGCTCATTAGACGTAAGATAAGGATAAAATGATGCAATAACGCTGAAACCAATCAAATTCTCTGCAATATCATTCAACTATTGACTCACGTTGTTTCATACAGTTCGTTTACGTGGAAAAGATTGATCAAATTTAGGAGATAAACAAAGCATAGGCGAGAGAAACGAATTTCTTCAATTAAAGGTATCCGCATAGAAGGTTCACGGCATGTACGGTTACCCTGGTTACGGCTGTACCTCACGTGCATCGCACTTTAAAAGGTACTAACTCATTCATTAAACACGACACGGAGTTAACACGCTCAGTTTATCCCTCAAATCGACTAATTCGCCGTTGTGAAGGGAAGCTCTGTAACCATCGATCGCCCCCGATTTGCCGGCGCGAGCTTACACGCGAATTACAAAGTCGGCCGCTCCCGGCGGCGTAAATAATCCACGAGCGGCACGTGACGGTCGATTAATGCGAACAAGTGAGAGATTATCGGATTGTTGCTCACCCTGGCAGCTGGCAGTCCCCAGCAGGACGATGAGCAGCAGGATCCTCGTCGGCTCCATTTTCCACGACGACAGCTGTCACAGCACACTTATCCACCCTCACTGTCCCAATCGGAGGCGCCACAGCGGTACGATCAGACGAAGGCGCGAATGTGAGGCGCGGAAACACGACGAGATATCACAGCGAGATTATCGCGGAGATACGAATCGCGCGCGCGAGTCCGCAGAGGAAGTCGGCGAGAGAGCTTGCGCGAGCTCCGTTTCCTGTTCCCTCTTTCTCCTCCCCGTCTATCTTCACGCGGCGAAACGGAGCGTGCCCGGGCACTTTCCACGCCAACTTCACGCAGGAGCGCCGCGAGGATACCGTTCCGCGCGCAACCCGGACGACGACGTGCGGCGTCACGCCGGTTTCCCCGATAACGGAACGACGACTGCCGTCCGCGAGTTCTACCTCGAGACTACCCTTCGCGTCTTTTCTCTCTTTCTTTCTCTTCGTCGCTAGCTCGCGCGAGAAAGAAAAGACCTCAGTGGCTTCGACTCATGCGTGCGGATCGGCGCGGGGGGATGAAAGCCGGCTGCCTGTCGCGCACGCTGTCGATCGTGGATAGAACGCAACCACGCGGCGCTGCGGCTCGCAGGCGAATGCCACCGAGAGAGCGCCGCTCTTCCGAGTTCCGTGTCGGCATAGGTGCGCGTCCGCTAATCCCCCCTCCCGTTTCCATTCTTCCGTCCGCGGCGGCGCCCCCGGCCGCCGCCGACGTCTCGTTCAGTCGTGCGTCCGCGCTCGCCTCCTTCTCGTGTGTCTCGCGTTTTCCCTTCCTTATCCTCTCGGTCGGGCGCGGCGCCGAGCGCGTGTGCGGTCGGCGCATCAATTATGTTCGAATCCGCGCCGACCCCGTCAACCTTTTCTCTCACCGTGCGTTCCATTTCCCCGGGAAAAACGTATCTTCCGCGTCCCTTCTTATCCCGGTCTTATTACTTCGCCAAAGTATCTTACCTGCTTTTCGATTAAAATATAAATCCCGAATGACTTACGTTTGATGACGAGAAAGTCCGAGCGTCCTCAGATCGGTATCCCTCTTTTGTTGAATGGTTCTTTTTCCGAACGCTCCTCGATATTCCCCTTGCTTTTTGTACTCCGCCTCTCTTATCTCAACCGCGACTTCCAAGCACGTGTGAGGTCGGCGCATCAATTACGTCGGAGTCGATCTCTCGTAGCGATTACAGAGCGAAAGCAAAAGCTGACGATGCACATCGTACTCTCGTCGACTGACTTTACGTGCGGTTGTGTACCTTATGAAGTATACAACGATATCGGTTAACGCCGAAGTAAAATATTCTTTGTCGACCTGTGGGCAATTTCAGGTTTGATTTAATCCCGATTGAGAACAACTTGTTACACACGCACACGGTATATATTCTTAAAAGTTACCAGTAGTCACATACTTATTATAGTTATATAAGGTCTACCGAGTGAAATGAGGCGTGTTGAAGGGGCCTGCGGGATATGCGGGATGGTTATGAGATGATTAACAATGCATTCCCCGCGACCGCAACTAATAATCAACGTCGTTCCGAATTCCGTACGAGTTTCGCACGTTCGTTTAAGATCATGTCACGCGTGACGTACGCTTGAAACCATAATTGCGGTTTAAGCGGATTAATTCCAATGTCGCGTTGCAATTAACCCGCTCCATTGACTCTGAAAAGATTAAAACGATTCGAATTACACGAACGGTATATTCTGCGACTCGCTGTCGATCAACGAGGATAGAATTTCTGGCTGTTTCACGCATACACGGGATTTCTTATACATACGAATGAAAGATAAAACGAGAATTCTGTAATGTGCATTTTCAAAAGAAATTTCTGGGATATTATTAATGTTCCTGAAAAGGGAGATTTTCATAGTATCCCGATTGCAGACTGAATCGAGTGGTTTGCGTTTAGACGCAACAATGTTGGACGCACAACGCGGAGAATGAATGAACAGATCGGTGAATGAACGGACCGGACGCACGCCTATAGGGGGCTTCAGATTCCATTCCCGTTCCGATCTCGGTTCCATTCTCGTTCCCTCAACCCCTTCAATGCGCCTTGCACCGTGAATGAACAACGGGATTGGAATCCATAAAGAGGATCCTCCCGCGACCCACTGAATACTGTCGAACCACGTTTCCTTCGCGATCCTGTGCGGCAGCGCTCGAGAAACAAATTCGGCACGTTGCTTCGAGGAGATCTTCCCCCTGGACGACGCTCGACGCATAGATAATGCAGATGCAGTTACTATTTCATAGCTCTGTAGGAAATTCGTATTAAGATGAGCATCGATAGGAACGTATCGTCGGCTCCGAGATAGCTCAACGGTCGGATACTATATTTCCCTCGCGCCGGTAACAAGTTCATCTTAGGCGCACCGAGATGTTATCTCGGCGCTGAGGCGTTTATCGTCCGTAAATCAACGTCTCTTGCCTAAATAGATCTCTCGAATATTTCTTGGAAGAGATTCTGGAAAGCGTACGTAGCTCGTTAGTATTCAACGGGGAATCGCGTGCACCACGGCTATCCAAATTGAAATTCAAATCCGGTAATCATCGTGGACGGGTTCTTCATATGTTCATGATGAATAGAAGAACACCACGAGACCAATTCATCGCCGGAGCGTCTATAATTGCGAAGATCGATATGCTTGCTTTCGTCCAACATCCGTTTCTCTGTTGTGTTATACTTCGCAACAATCGCAGCTGCGTAGTTTTTTCATGTTAGCCCTCCCTCCCTCCCTGTAAAAAGATTTTTCCTGTCTTCACGCAGTCGGCCAACGACGATACTAGACGAAATGCTTTGTTCGAGACAACGAATTCGTTAAAAAAAGGACAGGAGATTGGAAACTCGCACAACGGTCACGACAGCAGGTTACAGGTTTGTTAGAGAGACGGCGGTTCTTGGCTCGACATCGACTGCCAAAAGGGCGACTACACTGTTGAATATTGAACGCACGGTCCCCTTGGAATGTCATTCTTCGTGGTTGATCAACACAACACAATTCGTCAGTCCCCGATCAGGCCCTTCCGTCATTGTGAGGAGGGAGTTCTTGTATTGAGTCTCGTATTCGTATTCGTAGCTGTAAAAGCTAAAATTTATAGTTCATGTGCGCGGAGAAAGAAGTTTGATCGAGTTTATCTGACAATGAACAAACCAAACTCGTTTTGGTTGAAGGAAACAGACAAATTCCGGTTCTTATAAAGCAAATTCGCTTCTTATAACCAGAAATCCTGTTTCCTTCAAACTAAACTTTATTTTTCGTATGTGTTTTCTTAGAAAATTTTGCGTCAATGGTGACTCATTTCTATTAGAAGACTATAATAATGTCTTCGCAATATGTGTAATTTATAAACTTCCGCATTTTTATATATTTTATAATTTATAATTTTTAATTGAGATAGTAAAATATTAATAAGAATATATTAAAAAAAAAATAAAAAAATATATATATATATATAGCTGATGTAAGTAAAGAGCTAAAATAATCTACTGCGGTATCATTAAATTACATTGAAGATTTCACAGATCACGTCGAGAGATCGTCGGCTTAATTACATGACAAGCTTTAAGGAACATTCGCTAATTGCAATCTTTGTCTCGTTGTATCGTCGTCATTACTGCCGCCGTGACTAAACTGAATGAGAAACGTCCCCCCTTCTCTCAATACCGCAGATAATGGAAACCATTAAGTGTCTTCGGTTAATTGCAACGATACTGATGTGACGATGTACAGATAGTCACTAAATTGTGGACTTCAATCGATATCCAAGAATCATGACTTTACCTAGCGTCCGTGGTAAGATGGGTTCTTTTCGTTTTTAGCGTCGGAAACATAAACACCCCACGGCAACGAAGAAATTGCTCAAACGTCGTCATCGTGGCAGGAGACCCTGAAGAAGGGGAAGGGGGGTGTTTCGTGAGGAACGAGAACACGCGGGGAGTATTAGTCGATGGAGATACGGCGGTGGCATGCCGTACCTACCGCGAGCACCTGCCACTTATTTCTTCTCGTTTCATTCTTCCCTTTTTCTTCCTCTCTCTCTCTTCTTCTTCTTTTTCCTCTTCATCTTCTTCTTGCTCTTCATTCTTCTTCCCTCTTTCGTTCCTTCGTTCACTCACTTTCTCATCTCGCATTAAACGCCGTTCGTCTCCGGTCGACCGGCTACCGACCGAAATGAAAGAGCAAGTGTTTGCCGAGAAATCTCCGCTTTCTACGCTAGTAACTCGGAAACCTAAATTCTATCGGTGTGATAATGCCCTTTGTACCTCTCAAACGGATGAGAGATTGCGAGCTACGATAATTACGATATAATTCATTTGACGAATCTAAATTAACTATCAAAGAGTCACGGAGTTTTTTGATATTTTCGCCTAAATGGTTAGCTCGTTATTTTTGTAGATTATATTTTACAAACGCTTTACGTTAAATTATCGGGCATACAATACGCCATACATAAAAAGAAGGTACTCATCACTACAGTTTTATAATGTTGGAGGATCTATAAAAAGAAAGTCGAGATACTATGAAATCTTCGATTTATAAAAGAAATTGCCTACAGGGGGGTAGTTAATATCTCGTAAAATCTATTAAAATACGCATTTGTCGTCATAGCGACCTTACCTGGAGATATGGGTGCCGAGAGACCCGATGCCACTTATGCTTGCGGCTTATCAGCGTGTCATCGGGCACTCACTTAATTACGAAGGCCAGAACAGTGTAAACAGTCGGTCTCTCCTAGAGGGCCGCGTCGGGGACCGCAAGGCATCTGTTACGCGCTCCACGGACCTTATCTAAATTGTTTTGGCGCCCTTTGGGCTCCATTAAGCCCGCAAGATTGAAATAATCAGATCGGACGAGTTTGTGCCCAATTATACGCGTGCCGTAGCCGTGGGTTTTGAGACTCACGAGGGTTAAAAGTGGACGTGGGCGGGACGGGGCCTAATTCAGAGGCCTGCGGCTCCCACCTGGCCACGTTTTCTCATTATTGCCGAACCGCTGCATGCTTATGCCTGTAACCCATAAAAGAAACATTATCCGGATGAGGTTGCGCTCGGAATTTTCGCTTGGAACTTGTATACAAAGGAAAGAGGGGAACGCAGGCGCTTTCTTGCACACCCTAATTTTGTACATATTTGCGTGGATATTGTTTTGTAGATATAACAACCTCTCGTAAAAATTCACGTTCAAAAAACTCGAGATTACATCTGAAGCAACGAGAGAGTAATCGAAAGGATATCGCTGGAAAGATATTCTTGCATTCTGTTTTTACTGAGAATATAATAATTATCCTTAACGATATTTCTAACACAAAAGAATTTTAACGAGATGTCTCTCTATTGTGCAGCGTATTTCGAAAAAAGCATCACGTAATCATTATATTATTGTCCGTCTAAAAAAAATAACTATTTAGACCCCGCGTTCTTTTCTAATGCAGATAAGGGACTTCACTGCTAACTGAATTGTTTCGAAATAAAACTCTACTATGACTCATGGACGGCTGGTGGAATCCGAGATCTTTTTTGCAACGATACGGCGCGACGTCCTTGCGTCTGCAGACCGAGCTCTTCCCGGCGCGAAGCGAATTAAAAACGCGACTCATCCAACTCGCGAA